CAGAAGGTAAAGAAATACAATATGTCGCACACATATCTAAAGTGGACAAAATTGACTCGTCCCAAAAAGGAAAAAAGGAAGTGGGCAACATTGTTGTTTGCAAAACCACAATTCCATTAGCAGCAAAGCAGTAGGTTGTTCTTGATGATGAACTTTGTTGTCAGCATATAAGTTATTAAACAAGGCACATATATAGTATTATCTTGTTTGACAATGCAGTAGCAATATGTGTGCTTCAGAACTGGGGACATTCATGTAAGGCATAAAACTGAAGATCGTCTTCTGATGTCAAATGATTGACGAACATTTCACTTCCCAAGCTTACTGAAGAATCTACACAAAGCACGCAGAAAAATGATAACAAAAATAAAAATGAAAAAAGAAACCAAGAAGGAAAAGGTGCCACTTCCAAGATACATTTAAACTCTCTAATTTGATTTTGCATGCCTATCAAGAGGCCTTATCTCTTGAGACAAAAATTTACTGTAATGAGATGCATTTTGTTCGTTATTCTTTTAGATAAGTTTCAATCGAGAAGCAGTCCAAGAGACACCATTACATGAAGATAACACATATTCACTCACTTTAGTACACATACAGCATTTAAACTTAATGTCAAGAAGCAGAGAGGATCAGCAGCAAAAAATTTAGTAGGCTATAAAAGAAGAGGACCAACAAACCTATCCTACTAAGAGTTTGAGAATATTGTGAAAAGGCGTCGTGGCAAAGGAGGAAGTTTCTGTGCTCTGTTAGTCAGGCTTATACAGTTCCTCAGAGGTGTATTCCAAAATGGTTTAGAAGCATCCTCGAGATCGCAAATGTCAACAAGCTTCAGCCGTGCATTGTGCTGGAGGCATGAATCATTATCTGGTTTCGTCCAGATTGCCGTCTGTACTTCCCTAGCAATGAGCTTCCAGCACATTGCAGAAGTCAGATTAACCAACTTATCCCAAATCACTGGAAAGTCCTTATCCTTTCTATAAGCTGGAGGAGCTGAATAGACAAAATATCCATTTGATCTCAACAGGCGATTTACTTCTTTGATTAGAATACCATCTGCAGACAAGCAAATGAAAGTTTTCAAAAGATGAAAGGATTGTGAGGAAGCAATTTAAGACTAGACACATATTTCAGAGGTTGAAATATGTTGACAAAAACATTAGAAAAAGTTTTGAAGGTCATGCTCTAAAATAAACACCATTTATCTCTTATCTTCAGATTCTAAAAATCACTTGATCAACTATGCATAAGGATCATAATAGTTAAAAACACATTGATCAACAAGAAAAAGTGTTCACATTCTCAATTTATTCCATCTAGACTCCATGCTTATAAAATTTGGTCTTTTAGTAGAAAGGCCACATGCCCGTGCAGGGACTGATGATTAAATTACAAATTGCACACTAAGAATTAAAAAGCTGCTGTTTGTGTCTTTTTTTTTTCCCTCAGCTGAATTGCATCTCAATTCTATACTTGACATAAATGCTAACACATCAATTTCTACACTATATGCACGCTAACAAAAGTTTCACAGTCATGGTTTCATCATCAAAGTACTTCAGCAAAGCCAGATACTCCAAGTAAAGGTTTAACTGCAAAATGCTGATTGACCCTAAACAAGATATTTGGCATTAAATCCAGCACAAATTTTATTATCTAATTTCTGCTTTTGGAATTTTGATCTCTGAATGACATGGAAATGTCAAACTACTATCAACAAATAATCATTTGGTAAGTTAAATTGCATCAACTTTAAAGCTAAATACTGCAGAAATCATACGTGTTCTACGACATCTTCATGTACTTGTGATTTTATATGACACTCAAAATTTACCATTCTCGTGCCAATCAACCCGGCATCTAGAACAGTGAATCATTTCAAAAGAGCTAGTGGGATATGGTAGCTGTTTTGTGGATAAAGAAGATATCATTGCACCGATTCCTCGTTCCAACGCAAACTGGATCTGATTTTCATGGCCATCTTTGGGAGCAAAGGACATGGTTTGTATATTTAAGGGCAGAAGATAGGCAGAAAAGCTAGCCACACCACAGCCAACATCCAGTACCTGATATACTCCTGCAGAACGCAGGTCACCTGTGTAATTTGTAGTCATATTTCCCAACCTGCATGAACAACATAATAATGAAAAGAGAAATGCTTTTCAGATATGAATTAAGGTAATTGCCTGCCAGGACAAAAGCCTAAGAAGTTTGACATGATCAAGTACAACAAACTTAGATGAGGGATCAATGTTTCAGGGTCAGCCATGACTAAGCTTCCCAAAGTGTATAGCCTCACATATATACTTTAGGGGGGGGGGAGGGGGGAAGCGGAACCATTTGATAAAATGCAGTTAAAAGTGTAACAATAGTAAATCATACAGTTCTCCTACGCTTATAGATGGAACTACGTTTGAAGCTAGCATCTAATTTTCCTCTTTGCCTATGAAGTGGGGGATTGCTAAATACAAATGTTGTGAATATGGGGAATAAAACTTGAAAGGCAGAAGTAAATGCAGTTTAACAAAGTAAAACGGCATTAACCTCTGTATGTACTCAGAAGCCCCATGCTTAAAATGAGTACCACCACCTGGAAACCACCAAAATTGATCCTTCTCATGCACCCAGTTCTGTCCCCCTTTCACCTCAGCAAGATGAGTATGATTCACATTACTTCGCCAAACATAGTCCCTACTGGTTGGCCACCTTATGGGCTGCTTGTAATCAGCAGGAGGAGGCACCAAACAAAACAAGCGCCTATTAAGTGGAGGGCAATGCCTTTCCAGCTCTTCTCTCCTTGACAGATCTAATTTTGGCAACAATTCTTCAACATATGCTGGATCATGGCAGGGAATGTACTCATTGAATGTTATTGGGCAGACATTTATCCCGGTTTCTGGGATGGTAAGTGGTATTGTGCGATAAGAAAGAGTTACTTTATTTGTGAACTCAGGCCCTCCTGCAAGCACAGAAATAATGTATTGGAAGTACATTGATAGATCTCCAGAAGCAGTCAAAGACAATTCATTTGGTTTCTAGCACAATGATTGCACATCCTTGATATGTCACTTTTTTCTCATAGCAAATTCTTTACTTTATTTTCCAATAAAGACAGGATATTTATATCAGAGAGATCCAATCTGTCTGAATCATAGAGATATGAAAGGATATACAAGCAAGAATAGAACTTCATATCTACCTCTTAAAGAATCAATATCCTTGTATCAACATAACCAACAATCACAAAATTCTCCAAAACCCTCACATGCTGAAACATTTTGGAAGTATAATTTTCTATGCCAAAGTATTAACAAGAAAAGAAACAATAACATACTAAAAACTCAAACTACTTTTGTGCAGATAAACAAGAACCCAATCCACCTCAGCATTCCACCCTCTGACAAACCACTGCAACAGAGTCAATTACATAAGCTATGCTCAAAATAGTTGAACTCTAAGCACTGATTCGGTCGCAGGATTTCATACCGAAATAATCCCCCAACATCACATTGACTTCAAAATTGGAAAGAGATTTTATATTTTTGAATTCCACTTCAAACTTCCCCTTTTCTCAATTAAAATTCTACCATCAAGTAGCCCTCAAATACATAAATTCGACTAAACTGCCACTATCTCACTTAATACCACAGCCCTCTAAAATGGCTATCTATTTCTTGTACCCCAGTTTCACTAACTGCACTCCCCCAGAATCTAAATCAAGAATCCAGCTCTGCCAAATCGGGTCCTACAAAATCTAAGCTAAAAGAAACCTATACACAAACTTCTTAATTAGCATAATGGATAATCCCCCAAACAAATATGTACAACCTTGCTTGAGTTAGAATAGATAAAGAAAAATCAAGAAAGTTCTACCTAACCAGAGGATGGCAGCAATGCTGTAGTATTGGAAGATTGAAGCTGCTCTTCAAGTGGGACATCGTTGAAATTGATATTGCCCCCGCCGCCCGCGTTGCCGCTCCGGCCGAAAAGGGTGCCGGTGTAAAATGAACCTATCATCACTAAAAGGGTCACCATTATCATCTGCCCAACCTTCCAATCAAAGGCCCTTATATTCATGCTTATCTGCCCCTGGCTCTGGCCATGACCCGCCATCTTTCTCACCTCTTTCTCCTTTAAAGACGTGGGCTTGGAGTCAAATTTGAGCAGAGAATTTAGCCAACGTAGTCAGTCTCCGAAAACATGGTTGAGATCGAGAAAGAAAAGAAAGAGATCTCACCAGCCGTGTTAAGGAACCTCTGTCAAATTACGAGACTGCCCCCATACTCTTTCAAGATTTGTCCCACATCGGAAAAACGCATAATAAATGCACATTACTAATAAGAAAAGCCGAAGGACACATGGCACGACCTTACTTGAACAGGATCTGTTCTATAGGCTCGTACCTCTGTGTCCTTGAGTTCTAAGGAGACAGGAAACCAAGTCTGGTGGATGAAATATGACTGCTTGACCAGAGCGTGATTAACAGCTCTTGCAGCCTGGTTGGGGCCACAGTGCAGTAGAGGATCGTTCCTAGTTCTTGCTTTGCCATGGACTAGGGTGGTCTTGCAGTTGTCTGACAGACTTCTCCCACTACCCTTTTGTTAAATTATTGGTGTTCCAAGCTTTTCTTTTTGTTGGTATGAATTATGATTCAAATTTGCTCGTTAGTAGCTCTTAGTGTGTCAAACTTTTGATCAAATATTCAAAACTAATCAGATTTGCAGCTTGGAGAGAGTTTGAATTATTGGTGTTTCAAGCTTTTCTTTTTGTTGGTATGAATTATGATTCAGATTTGCTTGTTAGTAGCTTTTAGTGTGTCAAACTTTTGATCAGATATTCAAAGCTAATTAGTGATGGTTTGGTGGATTATGAATCAGATTTGCAGCTTGGAGGAGTAACGAAGTATTTGTATCCAACAAGCATTGCAAGCAACAGAAGTGGAATGCAAGTTTATTTCTTTCATTATAAGAAGCATCAACTCAGCTGTACATGTTTGTAGCCTACATAAGCACATCTTGCATGGTTCTGTTCAAGATTTCTAACGTCTGCTGGATGCAATCCGCATAAGGATGTGATCTGTCTCCTGAGACAAAACCGTGAAGAAACCCCTTTGCTTCTATGCAGCTCCAACCAGGTAGCTTCATCAAATCTTTGGATTTTATTGTGCTCCTGAAATCTTCAACTTCAAACCACTTCTCTGCACTTGCTTTTACATTGCTGATAAGGGTGTGGTATCCAGCATTATCAGGTTCTAATTCCAGGAGCCTATTTGCTGCATAGTCAGCAACTTTTTTGTCCATGTAAACTCTAGAGGCGGCTAGAAGTGCACCAAAAATCCGACCATCTGGAAAGGGAACCAATTTAAAAATGAGACAGGCCTTCTTTTATCATTCCAGACCGACCTAACATATCGATAATGCAGGTGTAATGGTTCAAATTAGGTTCAACAGAAAATTTTGATCTCATGCAATATAAAATCTGGCAGCCTTCACTTAATAGGCCGGAATGGCTACAAGCAGATAGTATGCTTAAGAAGGTCATGTCGTTCGGCTTTAATCCTTCCTCCACCATTTTCTGAAATAGTTCTAATGCTTGAAAACCCAATCCATGCATTCCATAGCCCTCAATCATTGATGTCCATGCCACAAGGTCTTTACCTACCATTCTGTCAAAGCAAACGCCTGCAGCAGAAAGACTTCCACATCTAAGATACATATTTAAGATAGAAGTTTCCAAGGCCGTTATAGCAGCACCAGACTCAACAAATGACTTCCTTATAATGTATCCATGTATCCCTTTGCCCAATTGTACTGCCCCCATGTGGGTATAAGCAAGAATAAGAGTTCTCAGTATTTCAGCACCTGGCCGAACACCTACAAGTAGCATTTGCTTAAACAATGCAATACACTCTTTAAACAGCCCATTTTCAATAAACCCCAGCATCATAGTATTCCAAGTGATAGAGTTTCTGTAATGAACTTCTTCAAATAGCTTAGCAGATATATCCACCTCCCGATGCTTTGCATAGAAATCCAACAAACAAGCCCTCAATTTATCATCAAAAAGTCCCTTCTTCAAAGCTAGACAATGTATTTGTCTACCTTCAAATAGATATCCACATTCTGCTAACCCTGAAACAAACACAGTCAACGTCTCGCAGCTAGGATCTACTTCACCAGACATTTGTCGAAAACAACCAATCATCCTCGTAATATCTCCTTTATAAGTGTACAATGACAACATTATATTCCAAGTAACTACATCCCTTTTATCTATTTCTCCAAAAAGAATTTCAGCATCAGAAACACTATCAACGTGACTATACATATTCAACAGCGAATTTTCCACAGAGCGATCATGCAATAACCCATTTTTAATGATATATCCATGAAGTTGTCTCCCTTCGACCATACTAGGACATCCTTGCAGCAGGCCTAACATTGTCACTGCATTGGGTTCCACCTCATTTTGCATTTTCCCAAACAATCTAAAAGCCCCGAAAAAATTGTCTTCACGAACGTAAGCCGAAATCATTGCTGTCCAAGAAACAATATCTCTGTCAGGCATTTCATGAAACAACTTGCAAGCATCTCCAAAACGCCCACTTTTACTATAAACCGCAATCATCGTATTACAAAAGTAAACATCACATCCGAAACCCATTTGCATAGCTAAGCCATGAATCGTTTTCCCAGCCAAAAAGCTTCGAAATCCACCAAGAAAACTGCTTTGCTCAATATTGGAAATGTATAACTGTCATGTTCAACTCCCATTTCTCTCATTTGCTTATAAATCCAAATTGCAAATTCACTAAGTCCTGAATTAACAAGAGATTTCAGAGCCATATTCCACAGAAGAGTAGAATTGGGTCTTTTTATAGACTTTAATATTGCCAATAAACTATCAAAATCATCGAAGTTAGTGTATAAAGAAATCAACTTTTCAGCAATTTCGTAGTCGGGTTCATCACAAACAATCCCATTTGAGACTATTAGAGAAGAATGGATTTTTTTAGGCTTTTAAGGTCTTTACATGAATCAAATTGTGAGGAAAGCGGGATTGTCAGGTGGTGATAATGGCGAAGTTTTAAGAGATTGGTGGGAAGTAAAAGCTCAGAACTTTTATGGGCTGAATGGAGTGGAACTTTGGGATGTGGAAAACAGCATAAATGAAGCGAAAGGATTCCATTGGCACGAAAAGGACGAATCTTGGATGAATTGTGGACAAGCTGTGATTACAATTAGAAGTTGGGCTTGACAGTTTTATCTGTCTTTTGAAACCACAAAAAAGGCGCCTTCTTGATCTTGAATACAACTATACATATGCAAGCAACTGAAGCAAAGTCGAAAACGAGATGAACTAAAATAGAGTGGGGCTTTTCCCACTTGTCAGCTTTAATGTTTTATATATGAGGCTATTTCTTGAGTGCTATGATTCTAGTTATAGCAAAAATACAAACTTAAAAGAGGCCAAATCAAGAAAATAAGCATCATGGTAAAGCAGAACAGTTTATTGTAAAAAGGAAAGGAAAAAAATAAAGAAATAAAACTGAACTATTAGGAAACGTGAATCAAGGAAAAAGTTTATTATCCTGAAATGGAATATTAAAACGGAACTTGTTGAAAAAGGTCAAGTCAGAGTTCTCTATCAAGATATATAATTGATAAATCATACTATATTTCTTCAGTAAATAAGAGAGGCAAATTTTGTATTTCATAACATGTACCACTACACCTTTTCATCAGGCAAAGCAATTTCCTAGTATTTCATCTATACCCTATGGGCCAATGGCTCAGTGGCCACCAAGGAGGGACTCAAGCCCCTAATGAACAGTGTGTTGAGAGGGATGTAAAGTCCATATATATATATATAATATATATTTTTTTTTTTTGAGGGTATGTAAAGTCTAAATTCATTGTAGTGTTGTGTACCTAAACTTGTCTTAATTCGACCTATAATTAAATGTAATTGGGGAATCATATTATCCTTACAATCGAAAAAAGGGGATTAGGGGGTGAAGATAGGATCAACAATGTCATCAGATGGAAAATTGTGTTTTTTTTGTGCACATTCCATTGCGTTTAATTTCCTGAATTGTGAACAAGAATGAACTTTATCTGTGTCCTTGAGTTGTTAGGAGACAGGAAGCCAAGTCCGGTGGATGAAATATGCCCCTTGACGGAGCATCCTGCAATCATGGTTCAAAGTTACGGTCATAGTCATGGCTCAAACCGTCTTATATTAATTTCGACATATCAGTCGGTCACGGTTTTAGTGAGATGTAAATTTTTGAAATATTTAATATTCTAAAAATTATTTAAAAAATGTGACAAATAAAAATAATAAAATAAATTAGCAAAAATAATAAAAATTCGAGTTGACTCGAAATGTCTCGGGCCGATTTGGTCATTTCTATCCATTTCAGAGATATCTCGACCGTGTTCTCGATTATTCGATCCAGTTCTTGACAATTCATTATCTCAAAATCATTTTGTCCCGGTATTGGATCGGAAAGTCCCATTCCGGTGACACCTGGCCGAGTATTTGAACCATGCCTGCAATTCGGTTTCCAGGCTGCTGGGGCAGTAGAGGATCGATTGTTCCCGGCCTTTGCTTCGGCATCTGCTGGGTGGCGGTTGTCTGACAGACTTCCCCCATTTCTTTACTTTGCAAGTTTCTTTCTGGGTCATCATCAAAGGTAGGAGAAGGCAGGCATTTCCGACAGAAAGCTTACCTTGCAGACTTGCAACAATTTTTGTCCAGGTATTCAAGCTTATTAGAAGGCCAAAATAAAATATGTGAATTCCCAACTGCAATTAGGCATTAGCAGGGTTCAACAGCCAACCATAATTCCTTCTTTACCGAGCTTGCAACATTTCCCCATTAGTGGCTAGTTTTTGGCAAGTGAAAAAAGTGGAAATTTTGGCAAATATACTTACAAGATTGTAAGCATTATCAAGTTACTGGTCATTTCCCAGGCTGTCTGCTGCGGAAAATCAACAGCATAGTGAACTCTGGAGATTTTAGCTAACTGTTGTAGGAAATTTAGACAAGCATTAGTAGCTATATAGTTAGGTATGCATCATTGGTTATTGAACCTGTAACAGAGATAATATCCCACCTAAATAGTAGCAAGCATTTTGACTCACTAATGGGGATTTTAGATGCTAGTAAAATCCATCAGTATGTTCAAAAAGTCTACAATCTATTCTCTAAAAGATGACAGAAGAACACTTTCTGAGATTCTTTTAGAAAAATGACGAATCAGTATAGAAACAGCTGTATTTGCCGGCAAATGCAAACTGTTTCATAATGCTGAAGATTTTTGCTCCAGTTTCAGAAACTTTTTTTGTTTGTTTGATTTTTCCTGAAGAAAGTTTGATACCAGAAACATGACGAGAAGGTTAATAATTGCAACCATCTAGCTTCTAGGATAAATTCGATAATAGATAATTCTACATTGACTTGCTTGCCTTCTGCCCAACTAATATTTGGACAAATTTCAAAAATTATATTAAAAAAAAAAAAGGGTTGAGAGGCACTATGAAATCAGAAAAAGTTCATAAACACATTTTCAAAGTTGTCCTCATACTTGACATGGAGAAAGAAGAACTTCTCATACCGGTGGAACAACAAGAGAAACCATTACAACTTTGATTTAGTACAACCAAGCATAAATCCAGATCCTGCTAGTAATTCTATTCACAGTTTTACAGCTTATATACAAGTGCCATCTCATTGGAATAAGCTCTAGCACAATGACAAATGCTGATTCACAAATTTCTATTCTTTTCTGCTTTCATCTGAGTAAGATTCTGCTAAAGTCGAATCTGTAAACTCCAGTATTACATCATCAAGGTAGCTGATACAACTACACCATACTAGCTGTTACCTTGATCTACATTAGGATGATTATCAGGGACACAATCAGCATCGTGTTCGTTTAGATTATTTTCCACTTCACCAGGATCATCATCGGATTCAGATACTGAGCTAGAATCCAGTCCTGTTTCTAGACATTCAAGTTGCACACATTCAGGTAGTGGATCATGCGGTGAATCACGTGGAGAACTAATACTTGATTCACGACTCCTGGTTGTTGGTGTTAGATCTTCTTTCTTCACAATATTGAACATAATTCCATTGCGTATTCTTTCAGGCTGCAACAGGTCACCCTCAGCTACCATAATGCTAGAACCAGTGGTTGGAACTCTGGAACCAAACTCTCTTTGATCAAATTCTGTCTCCAAATTTCTATCTGGAGTCGTTGTCCATGAGACTTGATGTAGTCCATCTCTGCCACCCATCTGGGTCACTGCGCTGCCAGGTTGAACCACCATTCCTCTGTTCAACCTGCTATCAATGTCCAAATTCTGGAGAAAGTCTATAAACTTGTCAGCTGAGGTCGTCCTCATCAAGGGGCCACCAGATCTTGTCCAAGAATTGAGATCAGCACTTTCAGACTCACTATCACTTCCATCGTGTGTGTTTCGGCAGGCTCGCCAATTTCTCCCAGTAGGTCCTGCCGATCCACTGCCACCATGATGAAACGAGGAAGCAACATCAGCAAGTAGATCTTCCTCTAGGGATCCTGCTGAGTTCTCTCGTGCAATACAGTTCCAAGAAGGGATCCTTTTGGATGCATTGAATCTGACTGTGCTGGCCAATCCATGCGAAGCAGCAGCAGCTCTTTCAGCACTCCTTTTGAGCCTTCGCATGTGGTTAAGTATACCAACACTCTCATCAAGAGCTAGCTCAATTCCACAGTTTGCTTTTATTGCTGACAGCTTCTCCCAAGTGCACCTCCTTCCCTGGTTGGCTGACTTCTGAATCTCCACATTAGAGGGATTTTGAATGATTTTTGAATACTGAAAGAATAAAGAAAAGAGTTAACCGCATATGCTCAAGTTTAGTCTTTTTCAAAAGAAAAAAATTAATCTACAAATAATTGATACAGGGTTGCTAATCCAGTAAACTTGATGGTTTTGGATAACTACAACAAAATCTTATCCAGATCACGGATATAAGCACCTCTCGTGCAACGCTCTAAAGAAATTACATTCATATATAATCACAAATCAGCCTAAAAAAGACGAATGACAATTCATGGTCTAAAAGGATTGAAAACAACATTCCCAACTATCTAGAACAGACAAACTAACACCCAGGTGTAGAGAAGTAATGGAATTGAATCACCCAGAAAAAACTATATGGTGTAATGAGCTAGCCGATCAGTTCTTGTAAGCCAGCTACTACCTAGCTGCATTCTTAGGAGAACTACATCTTGAATGAAACACTTAAAACCATTACATGGAGAGGCAAGAATTGGAAAGTGAATATATCTTTTCATCCTGTTTGATGATGGAGTATAATTCTCAAAATTTCTCAATAATGTGTTATTCTGAATAAGCTCCTTGCTTTTGCTGTTGTTGGCAGGTGGGCGGTGGGATTTTTTTTTTTTTTTGGGAAGGGAATTGGGTTTAGTCTCTGGAAGAGTCTTATTCTTCACTCCTGGTAAGAGTAACACTTCCCTAAGTTTAAAGTGGAGAAATATCTTTATGTACCTGAGCTAGAGTTGCTGGCATAACGACAGTCACATCGCCCTCCCAATCCTGAGCAAACAGCTT